AGTTAGGGATCGTCCATATATGTGTTTATTTTCTGCCCACCCCCACCACCGTCTACAAATGTAAGCACCATGAGGTGAGGGACTTGATCTATTTTATTTGCTGCTGTAGTCTAATGCTTGGTAGGTAGTTAGGTACTGTATTAGTTTCTTAAGGCTGCCATAACAAATTACCACAAACTGGGTGGCCTAAAACAACAGAAGTTTATTGTCTCACAATTCTGAAGTCTGAAATCAAGATGTGAGCAAGGCCATGTTTCCTCCAGAGGCTCTTGGGATAAATCCTTCCTTGAGTCTCTCTTCTAGCTTCTGTAATTGCTGACAATCCTGACATCCTTTGGCTTGCAGCAGTATAACTCCACCCTTTGTTGCCATCTTCGCATGGATCTCTTCCCTTTATGTGTCTCAGGGTCTAATTTCACTTTTCATATAAGGACATTGTTTTAGTCCATTTTGTGTTGCTGTAACAGAAATACCTGAGACTGGGTAATTTATAAGGAAAAGAGGTTTATTTGGCTTACGATTCTGGGACAGCAGCATCTGGCATGGGCCTCAGGCTGCTCTTCCTACTCATGGTAGAAAAGCAGCAGCAGCCGCCAGGTACAAGCAGATCACATGGCGACAGGAAGCAAGAACGAGGGGGGGGGAGGTGCCAGGGTCCTTTAAACAACAAGCTCTCTGGCGGGAACTAATAGAGCGAGAACTCACTCATTACTCCCTCCTCCCACAGGAAGAGCATTAATCCATTCATGAGGGATCTGCCCCCATGACTCAATCAGTTTCCAACACTGCCACATTGGGGATCAAATTTTCACATGAATTTTGGAGGAGACAACGCATCCAAACTCCATCAGACATCAATCATTGGATTAGCACCTACCCTAATCCAGTATAGACTCATCTTAACTTGATTACATCTACAAAGACCCTATTTGCAAGTAAGATCACATACCTACATAATGGGAGTTAGGATTGAACATATTTTAGGGGGCAGGATTCAACCCAGTATAGGTGCTCAGCAAAATGTTTGTTGAATGGATGAGAAGAAAACTTGTAAACCTGAATTAGAATCTTCAGAGGGCTGGCCGGTTAGTTCAGTTATTAGAGCACAGCCTTGTAACACCGAGATGTGTGTTCAGATCCCCACATCTTTCAGCTGACAAAAACAATGAATGAGTTGTAGAATTTCCTAGTATATGTTATTGTAATTCTATAGTTGCTTACTGGAGATCAAATTCTTTTGTGTGTTTATATTTATTAGATGTCCTTATAAGATCCCCTACATTCTCTTCAGCCTCCCAGCAATAACTAAGAACACTTAATAAACCATGCCTTTCATAAAGTTTTTCATGATTTGCAAATATGACATTTTTATGTGTGATAGCTTATTTTGGTTTTATAAGAGATATTTGAATTTATAAAATCCTAAAAGAAAATAAGTAAATGAAAACTTAATACCTAAGATATTTAAAATTTGGCTATCTCACTGGGCTAAGGCCATTATCACTGCTATCTCATAATAAATTTTTAGTGTGACTCATGTTTTCAGTTGGCAATAAACATACTTCTCAAGAAAAATTACAACAGCTATGCTACTTAAAAAAAAAAATCGAAGTCATACTCCTCTGGTCTTATTTATTTCATTTTAAAATTTACCATAAAGCTCAAGTAGTAAAAATTTTTTTAAAAACCCTCTGCATAATGGTGATTTCTTAAACATGTAATCAATTACATGGTCATAAGCATATAATCATAACTTTTAAAAATATTATTACAGTGGGCCAGCCTGTGGCTCACTCGGTAGAGTGCGGTGCTGATAACACCAAGGCCACGGGTTCGGATCCCATATAGGGATGGCCGGTTCGCTCACTGGCTGAGCGTGGTGCTGACAACACCAAGTCGAGGGTTAAGATCCCCTTACCAGTCATCTTTTGAAAAAAAAAAAAAATAATAATATATATATATATATATATATTATTACAGAAAATAAGAAATAAGAATAATTGTTTGATTATAAGCAAGCAAAAGATAGAAAAGAAAAAAAATTTTTAATAACATATATAGAGATTTTAAAAGTAGAAAGTATCCAACTGAATAACAGAAAGAGGCTCTCAAAAATAATGAATTTGATCAAGAATAGGGCATTGCAATGAGAATATGCATGCCATAATAAATTATGTGCATATTCAGGGAGATAAAGGAAGACAAAGGTTTGTAACAGAAAAATGATAGAGGTTTATATAATCATTTGGGAATAATTAACCTTGGCTACAAGAACTAATAACAAGGGAGATGCCAGTCCGAGGTTGAACAGGTAGTTGCTAGGCAGGTGTCCTTGCAGAAGTATTTTTTGTGTAAGGTTGCAACGGCCTTTGTGAAAGGTCATGGTTTTGCAGAATCCTTTGTGATAGTTCTTGTTATCAGGCATATGAGGGTACCTCAAAAAGTTCATGGAAAAACAGAATTAAAAGATAATATGAATCTTTCCAGGAACTTTTTGAAATACCCTCCTTCATGGCCTTCCCCCGTTCTATATTATTAGGGTTTGGTTTTGTATTTTAACACAATGACTCCATTTTGAATCTGAAAATTTTCACAAAAGCGTTATTCCACAAGGCTAGAACACAAAATATAATTAAAGGAAGTGAGATCATCCAGTCAAATATCATCAACACTTGAGGAAACGAGGCTGAGAGGAAAAATTATTTGCTTAAAGAAATAAAAAAGGCTTTCACTAAGTGTATTTACACTAATCTTGGAGATTAGTATAAAAATTTAATATAAATACCATTTACTTATGACTCCAACTCAAATTGTTCTTCTGACTGAAGAGAACCAATACACTGTATTATTGATTAAGCTTTTTATTTGATAAAGGGAACTGCTAAGAACGAGTAGTAAAAATAATGCCACCTTTTTCTTATGTGTTAGCAACCAAATCATGATTTCAATCTACTTCAAGCTATCAGGTAAAATATTCAGGAGTCAAGAACCAAAAGTCACGAAGATTTTGTGCTTTCCAAAATTTGCTTTAATGCTATCTGTTAAAATTATTTTTTATTTGGTTCATCAAGTTCCCTTATGCATTTGTGGGGTCAAGTTCTTTATTTCAAAAATGAATAAATTAGCTTAAAAACTTAAAAAGCTTAAAAAGTTACATTTTGATTCTGGCTCTTGCATGAGTGTAAGTCTGTTTTGAAAGTGCTCTGGGAGATGCACTTATACATAACATATATATTTGTGTGTATATAAATTATATAACATTATATTGTAAAGATAAAACATATAACTATTGCTTAGCATTAGATTTGATAGAAAATAAAAGGCCTATGAAAATGTTTTGACAGTCTCTGTCTCTTGGTGTTCTGAAATTTTCATCTCATTGCCATTAAAATAATCAAATATGATCTGTCCCAGAGAAAGGAGGCAGCCCCTAGTCTGGCAATACTTAAACAATAAGGATTTCAAAATGTCATTATATATATATTTAAAAGTCATTACATTAATTTGACTATCTTTAGAATAATTCCTGAGAATATGTTCAGTTCTCTAAAATTTTCTGGTGTCCTCATTTGTAATTCTAACCAATATCTCCTACAACATTGAAGAAATGTTTTTTTACGTATTAAGAAACTTGCTTTGAAAATCTGGTTTCCATCATTCATTATAGTAAACCATTATTTGTTCTGCAAATCTGGCTTGTGGTAAAGTTGTATCAAATTATTCAGCTCCTACACAATTAGTTGTATTTCTTTTGTAATGTTTTTGTTTTAGGCTATTTCAAAACTTTTAATTATTATAAAGTTAAAAAATTTTTTTCAAATGGCTATTCTTTGATGGACTGCATTATTTGATATAAACTATTTTAAGACTATAAATTCTAATTCCTTCCCCACTGCATTTTTAAAAATTACTTGATTACACTGCATTAAATTTAAAGACACACCACTGCTAAATTTGACTGGCTTTTTTTAAAGAAGTAAATTTAGAGATAAAAATATTAAATTTTGAAATGAAAAGTTCTACAGCTGATATGTAACTTATAAAAACACAATTACAAAAGTAAATTAGTAGCAAGTAAAAATTTCAAAAATGGTATGTTTTGGGCCGGCCCAGTGGCACACTGCTACAGTGCGCCGCTTGGGAGCACGGCGGCACTCCCGTCGAGGGTTCGGATCCCACATACAGACCGGTTCCCGCTCACTGGCTGAGCGAGGTGCGGGCGCAGCACCGAGGGTTGCGATCCCGTTGCCGGTCCCGGTCCGGTACGGGCGTGACACTGAGGGTTGCGATCCGTTGCCGGACACAAAAAAAGACAAAAAGGAAAAAAAAAAATGGTATGTTTTAAGTGAGCCATTATAGAATGATACAAAATAAAAGAAATAAAAAAGAAGGAAAAAGTTATTGAACAAAGCATGTTTAATAGGTTAGCATCCACAAATGGACTATAACCTCAATGTAAGATAGTTAGTTAAAAATTTACCCATAAATACAACCTTAGAGACTCCTCTTAGGTTTTCTTCCAATTTTTCCTCTTTTTCTGAAAATAGAGTATAATTGTACCTTTGTTACTTATCTCAAGAATTTATACTCAATGAAAGCCTTAAAAAGCTAAATACGCTTGATCACCACATAGAAGAAATAAAGAAAAACATTTCCAAAGTTTTTACTTCTGATATGAAAATTATAATACCGTCCATTTTCTTTTCCATTTTCTATGTTGAAACTGCGAATCCTATCATTTACTTCAAACTCCCATCCGATTCATCCAAAATATAAAGGGACTGGAAAGGATTTATAATTCTAAATCTCTTTTCCAAGTTGCAGAAGCAGCCTTCTTGCTAGTCAACCTGACCTCTCTGAAAAGCCAACAGTTGTATTAAGCTCTAGGAGAAGGTGGAAAGAAGCCGACGGTTGTTTCTTGAATTGTGATTGCTATGCCTGTGCAATACATGAGCGTTATTATAATCATGTCAAAAGTGCAGAGACATTAAACAACTTGCCTAAAGTCAGAAATGAGAGACATACCTCAGGCTCGGTCCAGACACTGTGCCTCCTAGGATCCTCTAACTACATTCAGAATTTGTAATTGTTTCCCCGTTATTTGATTAGAAATAGGGACAATGTTGATTCTGGCTTTAATCCAGAAATACACATGAGGAAATCGGTTCAACTAGAAGAAAAACTAAAAAAAAAAAAAAGGAGATTCAAGGACAAATCCCAATACTCTATGTTCCCTTTTCTCCCTATTTGAATGAGTTTTTATGAAAGATCCAATAATATATCTTTACAAAGATACAGATTTTTTAACCTCTTATTATTGTGCTCATCCAGAGAATTTTTGTATTTTTACTTCAATAATGCTCAATTGAAGATAAAGTAAAACCAAAGTTCATCTGAAGCTTTGCTTTGTCAATACTAAAGATAATAAAAATTGAACCTATAAAGCTACGAATTAAAATATTTCAACTCAAATATGGAGAGAAGCCAATTTTTCTTAGTTATAAAAAATGCACAGGTTAATAATTGCCAGGATGAAATGGTCAGTTTATTTCATCTTTTAGAAAAGCAGAAGTATTCTCTGAGGTGCAAAACTATGAAATTTATGTGTAAGCATCAAAATTATACTCTGAAAAAATTGTTCCTTTTGTTTTAAAATCCTCTAGTGGATTTTTTAAAATGTGTAATAGGTGACTTGTTAGTGCAATTAATCATATTGTGTAATAGTTTGACTGGAAATCCAGGTTCATTGTTTTATTTTCATTCTGATGTAACTCAAGCAGTTGTTTGCTATTTGTTTTGTGGTCCCCACTTATTAACTCAGATTCCTGTAAAATGCCAAGGTTGTGTTTTTTTCTATTCTTTGTTTTTCACTGAACATAAGCATTGCTGGTGTTTGGCTTTCCCCTTAAACGTTTTCCTGTCATTCATTCATTCATTCAGGAATTCTGAAGCTTAAAAGGAAAAGGTAATCTTGATGACTTTCTGGAAATAAAAAAAGTAAGGCTGGAGTGATGTATACATACAGGAGAAGTGGAAATCATGCATTCATAATTGTAGAGAACTCAAGCTACTGACATTAAACTTCAAAAGCAAAAATATGGTAATTTGATAATTACCTTTGTGGTAAAATGAAATATTTTGAAATACAAACCTATTTTTCCTCCTTGTATCCTTTTCGCTTTCTCCCCTGTCAAGCAATTAATAAGTCCCATGTTCACGCCTCAAAGGAAGGACAGTAATATTAATAACAGTAGCTAATACATGTGACACACTTATTATGTGCTAGACACGTTAATTTTATTAACTCTTTCAACCACAACAGCCCTATGAGCAGGTAATATTACTATCTCCATTTCACAAATTGGGAAACAGAGACACAGAGGTTTAAGTGACTCTCTCAAGGTCACATGGCTAGCAAGAGGCAGAGCCAGTATTCAAAAGTAATCCAGCTCAGAATCTGTGTTATTCACTATTAAGGGTCAATTACACTGTCTATCAAGGACTTGGCCAGGATCATTGCCTCTGGAAAAACCTGGAGAAAGCTAATCACACGATAAGGACATAATCAAAGGTCAATGTTCTGTGGAGGCATGCCAAAAACTGAACTTGCTGGGAGTAATATTACTTCTTTAGTGCATAGACACATTGTCAGAACACTGTGGAAGAACCATCAAGAAAGGTCAAAGTTGTGACCTTGCATGGTTGTACCAAAGCTATGAAATGAGAATGAGACCTGAGATCACTGGCTGAAAGAAGTATGAGGAAAAAAATGATATGAGGAGCAGGCTGGATCCTGTGTTTGAGGAGACGAACCAGAAATAGAAGGGTCAGGATGCATACTTTAAGGCACAGTTTTTAAAGGGGACTTAGCGAACAGAATCGTGAGATCATAAGGCTCATATCTCATATTAGCTTGTCTGGACATTGGATTTTGTGCACTTAAGAGTGATTAGTCTCTGAGGAACTGACTCACACGTAGCAATTTCTCAAGTGATACATAAAACAGAAATGCTTACATATTAACTTACGTACAGGGAATTGCTTTGTAAGATAACCTCTTTAGGTAATCTGCCCAGAAGACATTGTCATGGTAGGCAAATTCACTCTGGAGAGCAAACCAAGCAGGAGTTTTTCGTGAACAAAGAACATGAATTAAGTGCATTGGATAGTCTTGGAGGCTTTTTTTTTTCCCCCCAAAGTAAGGTAGTGAGATGTACTTTTCTTCTCTAGCCTGAGAATTTTTCCATCGCATAGCAGGTACAGTTCCACAAAGGTTGGGTCTCTCTGGCTCCTCGACATATTGGATGAACACTGGCAAATTCTTTCTTTCTCCTTTTGGAGGACGTTATTCAGAGAACACCTCAGTTAATTCATCAGCCACAGCACAATTGTCATCCAAATGGACGTCATCCATTGGATACCTGCCCATTGCTTGATACTTGACCCAATCCCAATGGGAAGGCCTAATTCCGGGTCTTCCCATCTCCAGTCCATTCAATCCTGCAGCAGTGAACATGTTTGCTCATGGCCCCATCATAAGCTAGACTCAGATAACTGTTCTTATATCCTTTAGTATATTTGACCAGCATAAATTTCTGATGGTTGTATTTTCCAAATTGACTCTCAATTCAGGAGGATACACCCTTTACGAGACCAATAACACCCAGTGCTCTGAATACAATTATAACATTTTAAGCTTAAAATGTGCCTTTTATCAAAATATTTAGACTGGAGCATATTATAAGTATTAAGTAAAGAGATCACTAAGAATGGTCTTCATTCCAGACAGCAAACAGAGCCTCTTTAGGTGGAGTAATAAAACCTCTTCCTAAAATGTTGGTTTGGATATCATCTCAGGAAGAGTCCTGGAGAAATAGAAAACTTATTCTTACATAGCATAGGTCTAAGAAATTACTATTGAAAAGCATTTTAAAATTAGAAAAAATAAACCAACTTTACTAGTGAACCACACTAACTATTCCTATTGTCTATGTAACTAGTGGAATGTTTAAATTAGTAGTTTAATAATAGTTCCTGAGTTAATTAATCCATGTCCTGTCAATATGAATGGTATAGTCAAGTGAGAGAAGGCACTTACTGAAGACTGAGACATCTGCATCATTTCCAGGCTCTGCCATTGCTCACTATACGCCCTTAAACAAGTCATTTCACCTCTCTGAACCTCAATTTTCTCATCTATAAAATGAAACTAATGGATCAAATGGTCCCTAAGATCCACTCTACTACTTTTAAATTCTTTTTTGCTTATTTGTTATAATCTACGAGAAACCACCCTAAAACATATAACATGAGAGAGGATTAAAGTTTTATATCTGAGATAGGAGAATTCATGTATAACCAGGCAACAAGGATAAATATATGTGAGTCGTCTAGTTTGGAGCTGAGACTTGGATACAGACTCCTATGAAGTTAAGATCTCCTTCACAACTCTTCTGATGCTCTAAGCAGATGATGACAAAACTGTTAATACTTATCAAGTTGGAAAACCTATACTACCATCTGAAAAAAGCTAGATGCTTTGCTGTGTTCCTGGCCAACTCCTGGAGTTCTGGGACCATGGTGATCCTTTGAAATGCTGCTGCTGCCACCAGGTGGGTTTTGTAATGGGGGTTGTTCATGTAGCAAAAGGCTACTTTCTGCTTCCCTAATCTTAACCCAGACTTGGAAACAAGTCCCTTCCTAAAACCCCAAAACAAGCTTTTAGTAGGCTGTGATGTTTAGAAAATTGTTCCGAAACTTTGGGGATAACGGAAGGAAATTGTAACTGAAAGAAGGAAAATGTAAGCTGGGATATAGCTATGACTATTCTCTTCTCCATTGGGGTCCCTCCTCTCCCCTTATCCATGGACTATTGCCATGTTGAAAGTTTGCCTAATTTCCCATGAGCCGAAGTGTCTTTGATCATGTCCCACCCCAAACTTCTCTCTTGCCTCACAAAAAGGAAAAAAATATTTCTACCTCCCCAGCCAGTATAGTAATAAATGCTAGCAATATAGCTATGCCCACAATAAAGACAATATTCATAGGATAATGTAGAGGAATTTTGCTTTTTATTTCTACAAAGTTTCCATTTCAGAATATAATCTGGGCTTTACTTTTTTATAACAAAAACTCATTAAAGTGTCACCCACCAAGAAAAAGAAGTTTTCTCCCAAAGATAAATGTGGTTCTACCCCCTCACTAAACAGAAAATTGTTATCAAAACCATCGTGTTAAATATGGTATATTGATCACACACTTTTAACTGTACTCCCTCTCCAAATCTCTCTAAAATGACAGCTAAGAAATAAAAAGGCATATATCCAAAGTGCCAAAGCAAACAGAAATGATACATGAGGAGATAAGTGATTAAAACTATTTTTTGGAAGAGATATTGGACAAAATTCAAGGCTGAAAACAGGGGATTAATGAAATACTATATAGAGTGTAGTTAGAGCCTACAACCCCTTCCCCACTCCATGTGACTCCTACTTTCTTTATTCATACACAATCCATCCCTTGCCCTTTTTTTATTTCTGAGAGAGTTTGATCTAGAATATATGTTCATTTGGGGATATCATGAACATTGGAAAGTAGCAGCTGTAAACAGAGAAATTAAATGAAAATATGCATAATAAAGAGTGTGACTGGTCATCTCTTCCAAACCAGATTGCTATTAGGCAGGCATATACTTCCTGGCAGGAGACTTGAAGACTCTTCTTGGGAGAAATGAAACAGCCCCAGAGAAAAAAATTAAATAAAATTCACGAGTAGTTGTCCCTTCACAAATATCCAGCTCACCATTTAAATCACACATTGAAGCTCATCAGTCCACAAAATCCACCCATGCCCACGAAGCTAGCTTTCAATTGGCCTTTTTGGTGTCTCTCCTAGAGACCATCAAAGATCACTATCGAGGAATGTCTCCAATATGAAAAATAGAGTTAAAAACAAGAGGTGGGGGGCCAGCTCCGTGGCTCACTTGGGAGAGTGCGGCGCTGGTAGTGCTGAGGCTGTGGGTTCGGATCCTATTAGGGATGGCCAGTGTGCTCACTGGCTGAGCATGGTGCAGACAGCAGACAGCACTG